CTGCCTCGGCGTGCCCCTCCCTGCGGCTCCTTCCACACCGCTGCAAGCACACTGCCACCGTGCCTGGGGACGTGGGCCCTTCCCCAGGATTCGCAGGAGGTGCCTGGAGATCTCTCTGCCTCTGTGGTGGCAACGGGAGCAGCCTTGTTGCTTGGGCCCTGGCTAAGCAAGGGCCCGCAGCACCGCGCACGTTCCGCTTTTCCGTGGACATCTGCAAGACTTCCAGGCACGAGCAAGGGCTGCCCAAGTAGCATGTGGGCAAGGCCCTTAGGAGAAAACACAGGAGCAAAGCCCACAGCAATCCCTTCTCCCCTTCTCTCCATCCCTTCAGGTTTGTCTTCCCGTAGATCCCCAGCCACCCTTAGGAAATGCTTGTTTTCACTGAGTTTTGTCAGAAGATGCGAGAAAGGTCAAGACAAACAATTAGGTGGTGACAAAGTGTCACTGCCGTGGAGGTGCCCAGACCCCCCCATGGCGAGCTCGGCGCGGCGCAGGGTTTTAAAACGACGATGTTGTAACGCGCTCGCCCTTTGTCTTTGCAGGGCTGCAGAAGAATGTTTCAACTACCCCAATAATTGAAAAGACGCCTGCTAGTTGTTTGTTCAAGCGCTCCTGCTCGTTCCCAGTAGTTAACGCAGGAAACGCTGCGGGAACCGAGGGAGAGACTGGTCGAGAGGAGCAGAAGATGGTTGTTTCACCCTGATTCATGCTGGGGGTGTCTGGTTGTTTCACACGGGTGCCGTAGCTGGGGTTTGCATTCGGATGTGGCCCAAGAGCTGCATCTCGGCTGCAGTGGGACCTGGGAGGTGGGACCACCAAGGAAGGAACAGGCTCCCGTGCCAGGAGGCACGGGGGCCCAGGCGATGCGCGGCATGCTGCCTGCGGTGGGCTGCTGCTGGCCTGATGGCCACATCGCCTACCTGGGTTCGGAGGAGGTTTTGGCCTCGGAGAAGCCACCGGCTCGGTAAGCAAGCTCCTAGCTTCATCCCTAGGCAAAGTGTGTCTTTGGCCGCTTTCCAGGCTCAGTTCCTAAAGGGTACATTTCTAGGTGTTCTTTACATGGTCTCCTTTCCCCCTTCACAGCCCAAATATCCTCAAACAGCCTTTTCCTGTGCCTTTGCCCTGGCCGAAGCCAAGGAGCATCCTGCCAGGTCCTGCACAGCACATGCCACTTGAGGGCAGTGGTTGCAAGCCCAGCGCCTGGCTGCTCTCAGGACGAAAGACCTCCCAAAACAAGTCTGACAGTAGGGTGCCATCGCTTGGATCGGTTTTGTCAAGTCAGGTACCCCCACATCCCCCACATTAACAGACGGGCGGCGTTAAAGGAGATAGTTAAAAAAACCCAAACAACCCATAAACAAGTTTGCAGACTTCTGCTGGAGCTCGAAATGGGTTGTGTGGTGGACTTTCTCTAAGACACCAAGGTGCTTCGTGCTTTCACAGCGCAGCGTCACAAATTCACCGCGTAAATAAGAAATGGCTCACGTGCCCCTTTCGCTGGTGGGGAGCTGAGGCTCAGTTTTCCAATTTGCAGCTGGGATTGTCATTTCTTCTGTGCTTTTACAGAATTTAACCTAAATTGAGCTCAGCGCAGTTGTTACCCAAAGGCAGTACATCAGCAGACGTGCCCGATAAGACCAGCGACGACGTGATTTGTGCCAGATTCCATGCTACGTTGGCCCGCTATCCGAGACGTGACGGCGGCATCTGGTGCCCCTATTTTGCTCAGGTAAGGTTTTCTCGCTGTGTGGTTATGTGCCTGGCTAATCATTTTGCTCATTTCCGTGTGCTTTTGAGGCCGTTGGCCCCCACATGGCAGGCACTGTGCTGGAGTGGCTGTTAGGGGGTTGAATAGGGAGGGCTTCTGCAGAGACAGTCATGACTTGTCACGACTTATACCAGCTGTGGCTTGCCCATGCCACAGTTTTGGTCCTATCCATGGGTTTTTTTTCCCACTTCCATCATCATCTGAGGATGGGATGCCCTCCAATTAAAATCTAGGTCTGGTCTGCTCTGTCACGGGCCAAATTGTATGTTTGGGGTGGGGGTTGTGTCTGTGCTTGCTGCGATAGGGTCAGTAACGAGAACAAATTGGGCTTGTCTTGAGATGCAAACCACTTGCCACCTGGCGTGGAGCAGCCTGGGCAGAAGCTGCCATGTGCCATTGGCCAGGGCAGCTGTAGCGTGATGCCATGCTCCCCTCTTCTCACCCCCATGTGCCATCGTGTTGCCATGCCAGCTCCACGTTGGGGATGGCTACCTGGCATGTCTTGGGGAAGGGATACACCTGGAGCTGGACAGGGCGAGGGGCCTGGAGTTGCCCCCCCAGTTCTGCACGGCCCTGCTGGCTCCCTGCAATGAGGCGGAAAGCCCTGCCATGATACCGGCAGCAGGCCCTGGGCCCTGCCGGAGATGGGCAGCGGTGTGATCCCCGGTTCTTTACCCAGGTGTGCCTTCTGTGGCAGCATCCTGGCACATTTGGGGCCCCCATCCCTGTGCCCTGTGGTAAGGGGAGCTGGGACCGCAAGCCCCTGCCTTCCCGGTGGCAGCCGTGTCCTGTCCACCACCGCCGGGCATTCACTGGTTCCCTGTCCCAGCAGCGCTGCTCCCTTAGTGATCCTGAGCGCAGACAGGACCCCAAGTTGTTTATATTTATTTGGATCCCATTTAGCATCCAACAGGCTTAAAAATCCCATGACTACCCTCTTATACAACTTGGTTTGATAGGAAAAGAATTAATTTTGCAATTAAGCTGTGCCTAGAACAAATGATGGCAGAGCTCTCCATATGGGCTAAATTAGTGCCTGCTGAGACGCAGCACCAGCATCTGTCTGGTTTGGTGGCACATTTTCAACAGCCAGAGGAGGGGATAGTGCACCCTCCTGCGATTTTACTGACTCCTTTGTCTCAGCCAGAGACCCGGAGAGGACATGGCAGTGTCAGCCGGAGCACGCTCTGGTTGGTCAGCAGGGAAAACCAAACTTACTCCGATGCCTTGTCCCCATTTTAGGGGAGCTTTGGTGGCCAGGTGGGCATTGCTTATGCCTTGAGTGGTGTGGGGAGCTCCGGAGGAAGGAAAGCTGCTCCCAAGAGGCAGGCACTTCTTCCATCGAAACAAACATTCTGGGAGGTGGCCTCTTCCTCCTAATTTCCAGAGCGAGGATTTCCACCAGCATCGTGAAGTGCCGAAGGGTCTTG